GAACACGTCAAAAATGGAGAGTTTTTGTTTCAACAACAGCAATATATTGCATTTATATATACATTGCATATATATATATATATATATATAATATATATATATATATATATAGATAGATAGGTAGATTTATATTTATATATAGATAGATAGATAGATATATGGGACATACAACATTTGTTCTGAATAAAAACCACGTGTTTCTGTGAGCAGGTGTGCGTGTGTATGAAATAAAGAAAATAAGAAATTTCCTGTCCTCAGGCATGTATATGATAGCATTTAGCATCTCAGGAGTTGTCTCAGCAAAGTGAATCAAAGTCAAACACGCTGTTTTGATTTCCTCTATCTAGAAATGCGGATTGTCTGTGAAAAAGGCAGGAAGTCGCTGAGTGTGCAACAGGGAGTAGTAATGACAGGCGAGACAGCGAAGACAAAGCGTGAGGAGAGACAGAATGGAGCTTTGAGAGGCGGAGAACAAGAAAATGATGAAGGACTACCCCACAGCGTTGAAGTAAATGTGTTCTGAGTTGGGTTAAAGAAAAAAAAAAAGGAAAACAACCGTCGGCTGATAAAAGAATGAAATAGAACGGGAGCGGCAGAGTTGACTGATTTCAAGCTGCAAAAAGCCTGTTTCTGTTTCATTCCCAAAATTTCACACAGCCTCTTACATGGTGTCTGTAAAGCTTGCCTGTGACATAACCCTTAACTTGCCAGAGCAATGCATTGTCTGTAATGCCACAGTTCAGCACCATGGACAGCGCTAGTGTACTAGAATGGCCCTATCTGCTCCACAGTGCATCGAAGCCAGTGGCGGCCAGACCACATGTGTGTGGCATCAATCATCAGCTTGGTCTGCAAAGGAGAAAATAAAATAGCAGAGAATTTCTATAACTTATTCTGGCAAGCACTGATAGACAGAGGAGAAAACTGGGTGTGAGGCGAGAATTCTTCCTAGCAGAGATTCTGCCAGCAGCCTCAGGCTCCTCACCAAGCTTTCTTTGTCAATAAAACAACAACAGGAAGGATTTACACAGGTTTGCCGAAGGCATAGTTAGCTACAAGGTACCGGTTTGAAAAAAGACATCATGCACTAATGTACTTGCATCCTAATTCTCTGGCACACCGCAATGAGAGAAAGGAATTCTTGAATATACTGAGGATGTTGATCTTTTGCAGTATGCTTTTTCACTATTATGCATTATATTTTGTCCATTTATGTATGAATACTGGATAAAATAACATTGAATTTGCTTTATTAAAATCGGTACGTGAATAAAGTTTTTTACAGTGTCCAAAAGTTTGTAGACACCACCTCATCCAGCATTTCTTCTGAAATGAAGGGTATTAATAGGGAGTTTGTCCTGCCTTTGCTGTAGCAACAGCCTTTACTCTTGTTGGAGATGGAGATGTTTGAACATTGCTGTGAGGATTTGTTTGTATTCAGCCACAAGGTGAGGCCAGGTACTGATGTTGGCTGATTAGTTCTGAATCAGGCTCATCCCAAAGGTATTGGATGGAGCTCCATCACTCCAGAGATCACAGTTCCACTGCTCCACAGCCCAATGCTGGGGGGCTTTATACCCCTCTAGCTGATGCTTGCATTGCGCATGGTGACCTTAGGCTCATGTCCAGCTGCTCCAGAGCTTCCCCATTCTATTAGCCAAGGTTTTTAAGTGCAATGGGTTAAATTAGCTTAAATTAGCTGAAAGCTATGGAAATTCTGTGCACATCTTGTAGTGGGTGAATAATAAAAGATCCAGATTTGCTATTGGCTTTGACGATCTGTGTTCAGATGCTATTTGAAGCATTTCCCCTCCAACACTACACAGCCTGAGCGGTAGTGAAATACAGCAGGTAAGGTTGTGACTGACTACAAATGAAATGAAGTAGCTGAAGGAGCATCGCTGAGCTGCGTCTGCTGAAGAAAGTACCAGCGTGGGTGTATTATCTTAACCTGTTCAGTCTGACTCCGCCGTCACTTTCAATTAGGCAGAACGAACGGAGTGGCGCACCTGAAGCCCCTCAGAGCTGATCTAGAATCAGTAGTTAACCTTCAGAGCCTCCCTATCTGTCTGTCTGATTCCACCTCTCGCCTTTTCTTTTTCGTCTTAAATCATCTCTCTTACTCTCTGCCTCTCTCTCTCTTGCTTTCAGGTCTATCTCTCTCCACCCCTTCTGCTCGGTTCTCTCTCACTTTGCCTCCCTCTTTCTCTCTGTCTTTTTATTCCGTCTGTTTGTACCTCATCTCTCACTGTCTCTCCATCCCTCCAGCCCTCATCTATTCTTTCCCTTTCTCCTTCTATTTCTCTCTTCCTCACTTTTCTGTTTCCCTGCCTGCTTATTTGTATTACATCCATTCAAGCCTTCATGCCCCCCATCCCTTCCTCCATCCCTCCATCCTCTACCCTTCTCTCCTGTCCTCCTTCCCTACATTCTTAAATCCCATGGTCCATCAATCCCTCAGTCCTTGCCTCCCTGTTTTCATCTCTCCTTTCCTCCCTCCATCCTGTCCTCCTTTCCTTCATTCCTAAAAATCCCACCTTCTCATCCAGCCTTCCATCGCTCAGTCACTCCATCCCATACCACATCTCTCATCCTTTACACATCCATCTCTCCATCCCTGCAACCCGTCCTCCTTCCTTCCATCCATCCTAATCTCTTATCCTTCTCTCCATCCCTTTTCCATCCATCCATCCCCATTTTATCCATCCTGTTGTCCTTCCCTCCATCCCTACATTCCTAAAAATCCCACCTCCCATTCTCCATCCCTCCTTCTCTCCCTCACTACACTTCTTCATCACTCTTTCTCTCTTTAGAGCTTTCCTTTGTCTATCCCTCTTTGGATCCCTTCATCTCTCTCTCCATACTTCCATCCCATATCCCTCACTCCTGTCCTTTCTCGATCTCTCCCTCTCCCTCTCTCCATCACTTCCTCTGGCCCTCCTTCCATCCCTCATTTCCCTCCACATCCCTTCCTCCATCCTTCCATGCTGTTCTCCTTACCTCCATCCCTACATTCCTAAATCTCTCCATCTCTCCAATCCCTGCATCCCTCCCTCTATTTTTCCATCCCTCCCTCCATCTCTCCAGAAATCCATTCCTCCTTGAATCCCTCCCTCCTCCTTCCATCTCTCCATCCCTCATCCTCATGCCTGCTTTCTTCCATCCATCTTTCCCTGCCTCCCTCTCTCCTTCCCTCCTTCTTTTCTCCCTCCATTCCATTCCGTTGGAGTTACACAAATGTCCCCATTTGCTGAATTGCTTTGCTCACGTCCCGCCCTAACACACACACACACACACACACACACACACACACACACACACACAAACACACACACACAGAGAGAGACAGCCTGTGGCGGTATCTGGGCGCAGGCGGTTCGGTTCACCCCGCCACACCATTATGTCCCCAGATAGTGGCATTGGCAACTTGTCACCGCTATTGATTTCTCTTAAACTGCAATTTACATGGATATTTGTGGGTGGCCCCCCCGGGCATGCAGTGTCCCCAAGGACCATCCAGCATCCGTGCCCACCCACACACCCACTCCTCCCCGTCCCACCCCCCCCCCACACCCCCCTGTACTCCGCATGGAAATGTTCCTGCCACAAAAAAGCACCTCAAAGTGACTTATCTGTCTGACATCAGCAAATACGCCATGTTTTCAAGTGTATGTTCCTTTCTGTTTTTTCTTTTTTTATTATTATTTCTTTCTTTTTTTCCCCTGTAAATGTCACCAAGTAGTCCTATTGCTCATATTTTAGGTGAAGCCTAATGACATTTGACAGGAAAAAATAGCTTTTTGTTTTGCTTGGAAAATGTCAACATCAATGAATTTATGTTTACAATGATTTCGGTTCAGGATTCTGTCAATTCAGTGGCTGCTCTTCAGCGAGGGGCTGAAATGTGCATCACCAGCACAACCGGAGGACAGATTCCTCAGAAGGAAATGAGCCGAATCATTATCTCATAGACGAGACTGATTTGAGCCATCATTGAAAACGAACACTCAAGGAAAGTGTTGTCCAGTTGTCATCACATACACAACTTTGCACGTGTGAGGAATCTGGCTGTGGTGTAACCGAAGGCAAATTTCTTGAATGTGCAAATATATTCAGCCAATAAAGCCTGTTTCAGGTTCATATAGCAGCCAGTACCAACCTGGAGGAGCTACAGTGTAGTTTGTCGCTCTCCGCGTGTTCACTGCTGCAGTTCTGGGGTTTGTGGTGGAGCGAGAGTTTAAGTGCATGTGGCACCACAGGACACTGGTGGCGTCGCTCGCTCGACCTTGCATGGGGTACGTGGGAGTTTAAAGGTAGCAGAGAGGTAGGAAAAAGCACGGATACTTTCTGAACTAGTTTGCATCACGGCTCCTGAGGAAACACCAAAGGAAAGAAAGAAAAGAACTTTCCTGTGGTCCATGTGGCTTGAAGGTCAATCAGACTATGTTCCCCTCCTGTTCACCTCACCGTGACTCCACTTGATCAAGACGACCAGGTGTTAAAAGACAGGTGAGTGACAGATGAATGTGTTGAACGTGGAACGTTTAGCAGAAAAGAGTGAAAACCAGCTTCCTTTTCTTCTCACTCTTTATTCCCACACGTAGCGTAACAGAGAATAAACCCTCCCCATACAAAACATTAACACCCCCCTCCTCCCTCCTCCACCTCCTTCCATCCTTCACACAGCTGAACTCGTACGAAGGGGCGGGGCTTCTTTTTGGGAGTGGGCGGCGCTTGGCGTGAGGGCGACGTCAGGGCGACGCTGCTGATTGGGTCTAATTAGACTCGTCAGCAGCGAATAGGAGGACGGCGTGCGCGATTGGATCCAAAGTGCCAAAACACATACACATACACGCGCACACGCACGCGCGAGGCGCAGAAAGCGGGCATCCTGCGCGTGCGTGCGTGTGTGTGTGTGTGTTTTTACGCGCGCCTGCGAGCAGGAGCAGAGAGAAGAGAGGAGAGAGGAGAGAGGAGAGAGGAGAGAACGGGGAGAAAGAAAGCGGAGCATCAGCGAGGAAGAAGCGAGAAAAAGGAGGAGGGGGCCCTGCCTGAAAGGCATGCCGGGACTGTCCGAGCGGAGAGAGAGAGAGAGGAGGGCGAGAGAGCACAAGGAGACACAAGTTTGAGCAGTAGATCTGTCCGTCCTTCCGTCCGTCCATCCGTCCGTCCGTCCACCCTTCCGTCCTCATGGCCTCGGTGCTGGCCAGCAGCAGCCCCGGCGGCGCAGTGAGGTGCAAGTTCAAGAGGAGGAGGAGGAGGAGGACGAAGAGAAAAGGTAAAGAGAGCCGACAAAAAGTTGTTCGTTGTTCGTTCTTTGTTCTGTTTTCTCTTTCTTTGTTTCCGCGTGTCGCGCAGAGGTCAGAAAAAACGGCACTCTGCCTGGCATTACGCAGCAGCAGCTCCACAAACAGAGGAAGAAAAGGCATCACGGCATCGTTATTAGGGGTCCAAGCACCTTGTGCTGGTTGTTAGGCGTTTCCTTCAAGTGATATTATTGTTATATTAGCGATTGTCTCGGTGCGCTCGCTGCTGTTGGTGCGCTCCGGCTGACCGCTCCGTATCTCCTTCGCCACGTTTCTCTCTTCTCTCAAGTTTTTTTTCCTCGCGCGCGCACGAGCACGTGCTCTTCAGTTTCCACCACCTGCGCCCGGTTGCTTTTTTGCCATTGCTGTGCTTTTCAGTGCGTAACGCGCTCCATCCAGCGCGTTTAACCTCCAGCTCTGAGCAGCGAGGTTACAGCCTTTTTAGTATCTCGTTATAACGAGCTTTAACGAGCCGTGGGGCTTTAAGGCGTCTCTAAAGTCTGTACAGTCTCTTACACACGTCTGTAGCGCACGTCCTCAGTGAACTGGGGGTTTATCAGAACGCTGTCACTTTAGGGACAGGCACCTTTAGCGCAAGGGCATGTGGGGAAACGAGGCTGTGCACGAGAATCCCCCCCATAAGACAGCAACTTTTGGTTAGTTCCTTTGTTATTATTTATAAACTGCAGTGGCAAATGAAGTCATGCTTATATATGTAAAAGAATGGCAGCTGTATTATATACAGTACATCGGTCATTTTTATATGTAATGGATTATTGTTATTACTATTAGTTTCAGCAATATTATCACTGTACTTATTACTAGGGGTCCAAGCACTTTGGCTATTTTCGCTGTTATTATTGAGATAATCCCCTTCATGTCTTCATGTGCAAGAACAGAATCCTTCAGAGCGATTTGCAGAAAAATGAAAACAACTTGTTGCAGGTTGTTGCAGAATGCTCCTCTATTATTCCTCCTCTTTTCTGGCTTGCTAGTTGCATGATCACCCCTGGAATTTCATCAGCAGTAATGAGAGGTAACATAGCGAGGTATGAGGTGAAAGACGGCGGCCGCGACGGTCCTTCATTCCCTCGCAGTGGCAGGGTAATGAATGAGGGCGCCTGCCGGTGGCCGGTGGTTCAGGGATGGTGGCTGTGACGAGTGCGGGGTGTTTTTTTTTTTTCCCTGCCCTTCGCTGCTTATCGGCCCGGGCCTGACAGGTTCCCGGGGCCACGCACGGGACGGCCCTGATAACACACGGCATTGATCAACCCTCCTGCCCCCAGCCAGCTTGCCTCCACCTTGACAGACAGGGATTTTGCTCAGTGAGGGAAAAAAAAGAAAAAATGACCTAATGAATCAGCGCTGGAAAGTAAAACCTGCATAGATGGCAAATGCTTCATTTGTAAAATAGTTGGTCTCTGACGTATCTCCAATAGTTGGCAAATAGCTTGGCTTCATTGCGTTTCTCTTATGAATTATAACTGCAGTTATAGGTGGCTTTATTTATCAAACAAACTATCAAATTTCTATGAAGTTTCTCCAAATAGTCAGCCTTTATCACATAGAATCACCTAATGGTGTAACATCCGCTGGAAAATCAAAACCTGTGCATGCAGGTTTTCTGAGAAATGTCATAAAAAACGACTATACAGGTAACAGGAGTTTTTTTTTTCTTTACCTGAATAGAAATTTCCCCAGATTGGACTGATTGCGGCCCCTTGCCGCCACAGTGTGCAGTCAGTATGCCACTTTACTTCTGCAACCTTTCTGAACTGCAATACGGTATAATTCCCACCAAGCACAGCTACATGAGTATTTCCATATATGAGCTCATGCTAAGAGCAAATGTAAGTAAAGCATTTTCTTTAGAACTTCCAATTTGCACGTCTCACACTCTTCAAAAGAGAGGTGCCATAGAGAGATCTCTGTGTGTCGCCATAGAAGAACCATTATTAGTAAGTGAGTGAGTGAGTGTTAAGAACGCTTTTGAAGATTACAGAGCATCCACATAATGTGAAGGTTCTAGGAAGAACCCTTAAATTGCTAAAGGGCCAATTTAAGAAACATGGTTCTTTCGGGAGCTAAAGTGGTTCTTCTATGCATCGCTCAAAGAACCCTTTGTGGCACTTTTTTTTAAGAGTGCACACAGTGCCTGGTAGTGTTAGATAAATAGAACATCATTTGCAGTACACAGCAGCATTGTCGTGGACCGCCGCGGCCTGTCCTATAACCCGTGATATTAATAACCCAAGTAATTGAGAAAAGAAAGACAATAGATAAAGTGCATTGCTGAGCCAAATGTATTTACATAATGGAAATGACAGAATTGGTCACACAGCATTAAGCACTGCATATGAACATTGGACGATGCATGCACAAGAGAGCATTGGTTTGTTTGTGTGAGAAAATAGCCAATTTATAAGTCTAGCTGATGGGTTGTGATGGTGATGGACAGAACAAGCAGGTTCAAAAAAATGAAAATAATCGTTTTTGGGTCGGAGTCAGACGACCAGCAGTACCAGTATACAGATTCAGCAATGTTTTATTGTAATGTCAGTTTTCAGAACTGTTGTGTTTTAGCCCTATATATATATATATATATATGTATATATAGAAGGACAAAACCTACTTTGCTTTTAATGTAAGTCAATGGAACCAGACTTTTTTCACATGTAATTTTTGGCCATTTCTTCACAATGTAAAGGACAACAGGCATTTTCTATTATTTCAAAAACTGAAAAACAACAAAAATGAAGACATGAGGTTTTATCCCAACAGCAGTGATAACCGCATGTGTGTATATATATATATATACATATATATATATATATTATATATATATATATGTTATAGATATTGCATATTGCTTACTTTAGTAATAAGCCACATTTTATTAATTCCTTTTTTGGTGTTGTTTTCCATTGTATTGTATAGAATCTAATTTTAATGTATTTATTCAGTCATTTATTTTATTATAAACTATAACTATCATTGCTTCCCCCTTGCTTCTGGATACAATAACTCACACTCAAGGGAATTTAGACACAATTAATTACACAAAGCTGCCCTACGTCAGCAGATTGTTTTAACTTTCCTGCCCTGTAATCTGTGATAATGGAGATGGAGGATTTAATCTGTGTGTTATTCTAGTATACTTTCATCTTTCTGAGAGCTGAAACAATTATGTTTATAGTCCTCTTGGCAAAAGGGCAGCGTTTTAGGATTACTCTGACATGTTATTTGATGGACTAATCCTCAGCAAATGCTACAGATTAGAAGAAGATGGACAGCGCATTAAAACCTATGTGTAGTCAAAGGGATGTTATCAGATTTTTTTCCTGATTACATTAGGTTGCGGTGTACGGTATTGTTCTTTTTTTTTTGTGGTCAGTAATGTTAGCACACGCACACACTTTGGCACTCGAACGCACACACAATGGAAATTAATCCTCAAAACTGGGGCAGTTGCTCTTATTGACGCAGCATCATTTACTTCCAATCAGCACCTTCAGTAAAATCTCATCTTCTTGGAACTCCTCGTCAGTGTATAATGTGCGCATGTTTGGAACTTCTGTTTACTTATTTGTTTTAAATTATTGTACCACCATTCCTTGAATGTGACCAATAATGAGTCCTGAAGTGCGGTTTAATAGCAGCTGGCCAATATTACATAAACACAGTTTCACTACTGCATTGAATTTGACTTTCCAGGTCTAGTGTGGCTCACTAAATATATTCTGTAAGGTTAGTATATAATACCAGTTGGACCAAATGTGTAAAAACATGCTCCTGTATTAAATTCTGTGATTGTTTTTATTAGCATGATTTGGTTTAGCCAGGTATTCCATACAGTTAGTATATCTTTAACTGTCTGTCTAAACGACTGTCTGTGTTTTGTTCTTGCAGAGTATCATGGCTTTTTCTGTGTATTTAGATTCCTCTGTAATGAAGCATGGCACAGTGACTTACCTCAGCGAGACCCTGGGGAAATGGGTAACCCCCAGTCGTCCCCCTTTTTAAAAAAAGAAAATGAGCCAAATGCCATTTCCCGTTCGGTGGGAGACAGCGTGTTGTCTGCGCCGGATTATTTCAGCTCAGTGAAGGCTAATCTGGAAGGAATATAGAAATGCACTTTGTGTATTCTGAGAAATCGGACAAGTGGAATGGAATGTTTGCTTTATATGTTCCGGTCCTCTTTTTCATCCTCACTGTCTTAACAAAACCTCATATCTTTAAAACGGTAACTTTAATGATAACTTTTTATTCTTGCTCATTGTGAGCCATTTCTGTTGATCCATGCTTTATGCCATATTCGCACAATGAAAAAGTGTGACTGCTGATATTAAAAAAGTAAATGAGCTGTGAGGTTTTGATATGACAGTAAGGATACATTATGACGAATCTCAGCGGATGAATGAAAAGATCTGAATGAGACATGACAAGGTTTAGTTTAGTGCTGTAAGAGTCGCTGCACTCTGTTAATTTGCTGGGGTTTGTTATGGTCACCATACTCCAGCTGACTCTTCTGAGGGTCAGAGACTGACACTCAGAACCACACTGTGGTCACAGCTGACCACAACACAGGGTGAAGGGGACTTGTGGCTGAAACTCTTGACCTGATCTGCTGGCACGTTAGTCTAATGTATGTGTATATATATTATTGCTTACCATCGCAGTCGGGATAAAACTTAGTATCTCCAATATTCATGATGAATTGATGGTACCAATTCACTTAAATAAATAATAAAATATGTCTATATATTTTATATATATATATGTATGTATATATATTATATATATATATATATATATATATATATATATATATATATATATATACTGTACTGTGCAAAGGTTTTAGACACCTGAGAAAATGTTCATTTGCTCACAAATAGTTCACAAATATTACAGTAAATATGTAACATTTGTACTGCTATTATGTGTATACATTTTTCATTTATCCATTTCC